AGCAGCAAGCAAGCAAGCTTCAACCTCAAAAACTTTTGCGTTTCCCAATCCTTTCTCTTCGACGGGAAAGCGCCGGGAGCGCCGGTGAAAGCGAGAACTGGATGATCGGATGATGAATATCTAAAAAAAAAAAATACCGACTGGGGCTACCAGTGGTGAATTTATCGCATACACGAAATATATCAATCACAATACAACGACACACACAATACTAGGCTATATCTTAACTTAACCCACGTCATGACAGACGGCTCCCTAACCCTAAGCTCAATGGGGAAACTAAATAGCTTTTTGGTGGTGAAGGGAAGATGACGATGAAGGAGTGGCTTGTCACTTTAAAGAACTGGGGTCACAACCACCAGACTGCCCTCCAGAAAACCTCTCAACCCGAAGGGAAAGGAAATCCGAAGGGGGTGACCATGTCGCATGTGGGGTTCGAACCCTCGACCTTCCGATTAAGATAAAAGACACTTAACCAGTCAGCCACACGTGCTCCTGGAGAAGAAATTATAGATATCTGGAGAAGAAACTATAGACGTAGATCAGATCAGCTACAGACGTAGAACTTAATCTTAGATTAAATTCTAGCATTGTCTTTGAATTTACATACATTAATTCTTTATCATTTGAATCTCTTTGGAGATACAACGCAATTTAACGCAGACAAAACGCAGACAAACTCATAGCAGACAGAAAACGCAGACAAAACTCACAGCTCATTCCATGCACTCTTCGCGCCTCGTGTCGAAAGATCATAGCCACCCTAAAAAATCAGTTAGTTTTATGCTCATTTACAAGAGCTTGCCTCAATCTTCCCATAAAATTCATCATCAACAAAATCAACTCCAGCATAATCCCAAAATGGTCCAAAAGGATTCCCTTCTTTTGCGTGACATCCCGACGGAGCATTCTTTTCATAGAAAGATTCTCGTGGGCTCCAACAAAGAGCTGAATTATAGTTTTTCTAGTAAATTGTATTTGAAATCTTTTAAAATACCTTTTCTGCTTTCTTTCGGCCAAACCGTTGGAGCAATATCTCGTTTAAATTCGGTCAGAGTGATCACTTTGAGATATTGAGAGAGGAATTTCGGTTGATAGACATCTTCAAAGGGAATCATTTGCTGAAATGAATACGAATCACAAATAATATTGGATTCAAAAAAGTTTTAACGAACAAAATTACCGCTTTTCCCGGTTTGGCAAAGTCGATGAATGGTGGTAAGACAAGGGTTCGATCGAGGCCCTTTGCAAAAGAGATTGTTCCCAAGAGTTGGTCTACTTGATTCCCGAATCGGCCTACAAATTTCGTACATTTATCTTCAACCTCACAGTGTCAAGGTATTCAATTTTAAGAGCTTTAAGCTTTTATCAAAGTCTTTCAAAATAACTCACCCATACAAGGACAATAGATGACATATCCTTTTGGATCAATCTCCGCCGCATCACTTCTTGATAGAATACTACCGAATAGAAGAAACGAAAGAATCCACATCGAGACAGATTTCCATAAGATTCAGGGAAAGAATCGGCGAGAGAAAGAAAGACACGTCTAAAAACTGATAAGCCGATCATTTAATTGACTCACAAAGTGGTTAACAGGGCAAGGGAAAGGGGAAAAGAGGGCGTGTTCGCATTTGGAAATAGTGTTCAATGGGAAAGATATGTAAATCGAGAATTGAATGCTTTTGGAAGCCCTTTTGTAATTATCCAGTTAAAATGGTGGAAAAGTTTCTTTGAAATCATGCAGAATGCCAAAATATTCAATGTAATTGTTCCATTTTTGTCTGAAAAATCAACTTTGATGACTGAAAATCGTTTTTCGATATAGTATTGAGTTCAGAAGCAATTTTATTCAAGAAACCCGTTCATTGAATAGCAAGAGAGACTATCACTGTTTGCATAGAAATGAAATATTTCACATGGATAAGGAAAAAAAAGCACGTAAACTGTAATTTCTGGACTACAATGTAAATTTGTCTTTCAAGGATTGTCCAGCAGGTGTTATGAAGAAGACTTACAAGCAAGTAGCGTCAAAAATCTCTGAATTTAGGAAGATATCACAATTTGACTCACTTAGATAATGATCAAAATCAATACGAGGAAAAATAATAGACAGCTGAGGATGAGAATCATCTTGCATTGGCGTTTATCTGAAAAAGGAGTTCTGTCGTTTTTGGATCGATTTTCACTGGCTGGATGCTTTGAAAAGAATAGCTTAGCTTACGGAATGTTTAATAATGTCTTGTGAAAGAGGTGGAAAAAATATTGTCCTTGAAGCCGAGTGCAATTAGCGTATTACAGTATCATTTGAATTAATTCCTATACATTCAATTTTAATATCTTTTCATTGGTAGAGCTTTCACAAACCGTCATCCAGATTCGTCAATTTTGCAATCTTCTTCATCACTCCATCAAGCTTCGTATCAACTCGTTCCATCTCATTCCCCAACTCGTCCAACATTCTAAAAATTTTTGTATGCGAACAGCTCTCCTATTTTTGATAGTTACAACTCTTTTCAACTTACATATTCTGTTCTTCCAATTCATCGTGAATCTTGTAGCTCATATTCTTCAATGTGCCCACCGATTTGCTGACCAAGTCAAGGTCATCATCTTGATCTCTGATGATTTGCTAAAGTTTGTTTGCCTTTCTCTCTTTTTGATCTACATAAATTAACCCTAAATGGAATGCAAAACTAGAATTCTTTAAATTTAGCCGTTCGTTTTAATAGAATTGCGGTACTAATAAAGTTCGGGAGGGGGGCACTTTGACTTGACCCGGCCAGAATCTATTTTACGGTTTTTCTAGTCTTTTTTTGCATTTTCTGAGGTAATCAAATATGCTTAATCTGTTGGTGATATTTTTAGTTTTTCGAATAGTTTTCTCTTTGTATCTCACCCTCATTTTCTAGTGCTGCGGCACTGCAACAGTTACACTTCAGCTAACTCAACATCACATTCACAAAGATTATTCAAAACTTTCTAAAAATATCACCAATTGATTCAGCATGTTTGATGAGCCCAGAAAAAATTAAATAACGTTGGTAAAACGGTCAAAAAATACGATCCGACCAAATCAGATCAAAGTTCCCCCCACCTTTATTAGTACCAGAACTGCTCAATGATATTTGACCCTACGTTTCTTCTAAACCAACTTTTTGTTTGAAGAGAATCTCCTCGAAATTGTTCTCCGGTTGATTGTTTCGAGCAGCACTCGTCGACGGGCCTTCATCATCTTCATCGAAATTCAGCGCCGTATATTTGTACCCGGACATGTCTAAATTTTCATAATAAACATTTATAAAAACAAACAACAACGGAAACTTCTGAGATCAACAAAGAATTTCTATTCTTAAATTCAAGGGTTATCAACAAAGGTAGCAATTTCGGTGCTTTAGTAGTTGGGGGGACCAGTTTGTAAACACCGGTTTTTTCGAACTTGCCACTAGTTTTAAAAACTTTTTCTGGGGTAATTAATTGCACTGAATCCATTGAAGCAATTAGAAACCATTCTGAACAACTTTTATGCCAGTTTGAGCAACAATTCCGAGCCTTCAAAAGTGGCTCTCTTTCTACTGGGTTTAGAGGTGGGGGACCGAAATAAGAGGCTTAAAACCTCAGTAAATGCTTGAAATAGCAGAAAACATTAACTAAAGCTTAAATAAATAACAAATTAAGAATCTACGCCATTAAAAACCCTAGAAGCAAAAATTCGTGGGTTCTGGCTCAAAAGAGAATGTACACTGCCCCCCAACTACTATAGCACCGCAATTTCAACTAAACATAACTAACGATCTTTGCACATGAGCTTTTTCTAGAAAATCATCAAAGTAAACATCACAAAGGTAAACATTTTAAACTTAACACGTTTAAAAAGCTCAAATTTTAGTGATTCTATTCATCGGTGAAACGAAAGTCCGATGAAGATGGATATACTCGATTTGGATTCAACGACAGCACTTCAAAATCCCTCACCGCTTCATGTTCAACCCTTCTTCTCATTTTTCTCTTCACATCCATCATTTCTCCAGTCTCAATCCCGTGCTCCATCGCCGAATGTTCATTCCTTTCAGTGAACGTCAAAAACCTTTGCTCACACTTATCAGATAGACATCGATAACGCGGAAATCCCGTTTCCCTTGTCAAATTCACCTTGAACAGAACCGAGTGATTCTCATCAAAATGAATCTCCAATCCGTGCGCATTTGTGAACGATTTTTGGCAGATTAAGCACTGGTGTTTGTGTTTTCGTTCATAGTGATCCTCGTAGTCAGCAATTTCCTCGAAACTCGCGTCACAATTTTGAACATCACAAAAGATCCGGGAGCTCGTCTGTTTCTCATCATCGTCATCCACTTGTGCTCGAAAATTCCTAGCAAATGCGCTCCAAAAAGTTGGATCGTTCAAATTGAGGCGATCGGCGGAATTTTGTTCATTGAAATCCTGCTTGATCACTTCGTTCTCCTCGAGATTTCGCATCTTCACGAATCGTGGAAGTGGGAGATCTAAAATCAAAGAATTAAAGTCTGAAAATAAACCGAATACAATAAAAACAAACCAAAAATCATGAAAAAAGCTTGTTTTCGAAAAAGCTGGCAGAGTGAATGCGATGAAATCACCGGGAGAGAAAAACGGGGCGATACTATCGACGCGGAGGCGAGGAGCGAGTTTTAGAATGGAGCAATTCGCTGGTTAAAGGGGAAATGAATGTTTCAGTTCTTATTTAAAATGAAAGATATGTAAAAATTGTGTATTTTTGAATGGAATTAAATAAATAACATATTGTACTGCTTAAATGCAGAAAGTAAGGCCGAGATTAGTGAAAAAATGAGCACAATATAGGGCTCAAAAGTGGCGAGTAAATTGCTCGTTTATCTTTTTGCTAAAACTAAACTTTTCAGCTAAAATGTTTAAGAAAAACCTTTAAATTTACATATTTAAATATTAATATTACATTATTTTGTTTTTGAGTAAAAAATAAAAGAGTTTAGGAGAGCTTCTCCAGTTGCTAGGCAACTGCAGTGAACACTGAGTATTTTCTATTCATTATCAAAATCGCCCAAATCTTAAAAATGTCTGCCGAATCTGTCCGTTTAATTGTTGATTCTCTAAATAAAGATCCCTTCAATTTATCGACAACATTAATTGCTTTCGATAATTTTTCACCGAATCGTTTACTGCAAGTGTTGAGTGATGTGCTGTGGTGAGTTTGAGTTAACTCCCTCTGGAGTAAGGGCGTTTAAGTGCGTTGGGGTGTAATGGTTGCACAGTTGCCCAGTAAAAGAAAGGTCACGGGTTTGAGTCCCGGTGGTGCATAAGTTTTTGATCTGCCATAGTTCCAACTGACCACGGATGAATGGGCTTTGCGATGTTGGCTAAGGTCTTCATACCTAGTTTCGAGCGCACCCTCAAGCCTATAAATCGAGACGTGTGAAACCGTCTCGTCCAGAGAGGAGGGAACTTAACTCCCTCTGGAGTAAGGTTGATGAACCGCGTTGTGGTGTAGTGGTTAGCACATTTGCCGGTACACGAACGGTCGGGGGTTCGAGTCCTGGTGGCGCGTCACTTTTTGATCTGCCCTACTTTCAACTTTTGGAAAGTTGAACAAGTTGCAGTTTGAAGCAAGTTGAAAAAAGCTAATCGAGATTTTAAATTCAAAACTTTATCCGAAGGTGATTTTGAATTTAAAACTTCCAGTTGGGTGACTCAAACCGATCAAATTGACATCCGAAATGAAGCTCCAGATCAAACGGCGCTGAGAGTTTTCAACAATTTGAAAATCTTGAAATTTAGACCACCATCCGATATTGAACAACTGTAAGTAAAATGAAGAAATGAAGAAATTTCCATGTAAATTCTGTTTGAGCGAAGAATGGCGTATTGGAATGGTCGAGGGCTCAAAAGCCTCAATCTACCCAGTTCTCTTCTATTTGTTCTCTAACGTTGAAATGTTAAAAGGTGTTTTATTCTAACTTGAAATGAAAATCAATACCTTTTCAGAAAGAGCTTACTTGGCAAAATTTCTCGTAAAAGTCGAAGTGCCAAGTGAAATTCACGATGCGGATACTGTACAACTCCAAAATGACATCATTACATGTATGGAGAGATTCAAGGTTCGGTATTTGAAAGTATTTTATATTTTGGAAAGGCTTTATGCTAGGAAATTCATCAAAAGGTCGTTCAAGTGCGTGGTGATTCGATGCTCATTGAGGATATCAAGGCTGATTTGAGACAGATGGAACAGGTTACCCAAGAATAAACTGTAAAGACTTTAAAGACTGTAAAGGATTAGTTCATCAGCTTTTCAGCTTTTCAAATGCTTTCAGAGCTTTGAAATTCTTACTCAAAGTTTCAGGAAAAGGAACAACTCAATCGTCGAATCGAAAAGATTCGACGAAAAGTCGTCAATATGCCCAACTTGGATCGGTAATTAGCAAAGTTACCGTTTTTCGAATCTTGAGGAAATTTTAGAATTATTTCCGGTGCAGAAGCTCATCGGCGAGAATTGGAACGATTTGAGACATTGAATGTTCAGAGACAAGAACAAAGAAATGCTGTGGGTTTTGAGAAGTTTTAGAGACAGATAATAAGAGACGTTACGGGAAGAGATGGAAAGAAATGGCTGTTCAAAAAGTCTTTTCGTTTTTTTCATACCTTCGTTGAAAAATAATAAATTCACCAATTAATTTATCATTTGCTCTAAATAAAAAGTATTTACTGTTTAATTTCCCTTCTTTTTAAGTCAATGTGGGTTCACTTTCAAGCAAATTTGATGAGTGCATTGGTTTTAAAGGGAAGTACGAAAAGGAATGGAAAGACTTTCTAGAAAAAACAGTCAGAAGTTGACGATTTGTTTAATAGTCTGTTAGATCTATTAGATTCAAAGCCATGTTCTTGAATAAGTTTAGGTAATCAATGCTGATCAAAAGATTCAACGATTGGAGAGTCAATTGAAAGAAGTGAGGCAACAAGCAGAGACACTTGATCCGAGTGATCTAATCGCACAATTGGATGTAGGGAAATGAAAAAGAGACAGATAATAAGAGAAATTACAGGAAGAGATGGAAACAAATGGTTTCTTAATGCAGAAATTAGAACGAGAGATTCGAACGAAGAAAGGAGTGGTGATTGAGTTGGCAAGAGTGTCCAATCTACCGACAATTGATCAGTCAGAAGTTGACGATCTGAAAAGAGAGGTTTGTTTGGTGATGGCTCATTTCAAGATGGCTTCTTGTCAAGGTAGATGCAGTGAATGCTCGTCTAATCGTTCTCGAAGAGGATCGGGATAAACGAGAGGAAGGATATGATGAGAATTTCTCCATTTATCGACATCAAGCAGCGACGGTGGAGAGGAAGAAAAATGCTGCCGCTTCACAATTACAAGAAGGAAGGTAAGGAAAAGAGTAAAAGAAAATGGGCAAAAGAAGATAGACAACTTAACGTTTAAGTAGGCAATTTTAGAGTAAAGCAACACGGATTAGAAGTTCAGATTTGCAGAATTTGATGAATGATGCAGAATGAATGTCCGATGAATTACAGAATTTATTCAGGAATGATCTTGATGAAATGCATCGTCGTTTGGCTCAAAGAAAAGATGAAATGCGAACTAATAATGGTGGAGAGGATGTTGTCACTTCTTTGCAGGTTTTTTTAGTTTTTGCGTTCAAGAGTCTACAGAAAAACTGTAATAATCTAGTCATGGTTTATAGAAATATTAGATGTGTGAAAAAGTAATCCACGTTTTAAACGTTTAAATATAAAAGACCATAAGTTTCGTTAAAATAATTTTTATTCAACGAAGTAATCACCATTCGAAAGAACAACCTTTTGCCAACGTTCTACAAGTAAAGACATTCCACGATAATAAAAATCTTGGTCCTTAGAGGCGAAGAAAAGATCAACCTCGGTTTTGACATCTTCTTCGGAATTGAACCATTTATTGGCCAAAAAGTTAGACAGAGACAAAAATAAATAATAATCAGATGGAGAAAGGTCTGGACTATAAGGTGGATCTGGTAAAGCCTCCCATCCAACACTCTAGATTTTTTGTCGAGTCTGTAAAGAGACATGTGGTCGCGCGTTATCATGGAGCAACAGGACACCTTTCCTATTTACCAATGATGCGCGTCTCTCAGTGAGTTTTTGTTGGACTGCATCAATCTCGGCACAATATCGTTTGGCCACGTGATAAATAGTCTATGTGCATAATACCACGTGCAGTCCACCAAACTGTCATTAAATTTTTTTAGGATAGAGGCTTTTTTTGGGTATTGTCCCAGCAGGTTTACCACGTTCCACCCACTGTCCAGACCTTCTAGAATTATCGTAATCAAACCATTTTTCATCACACGTAACAATTCGATCAATAAATGGCTCAAGTTGATGTTTACTAATCAAAGAATTGGCGATTGTAAGGCGCATTGTTTTGTTTTCTTCGCTCAATTCACGCGGTATCCATTTGTCCAACTTTTTGATAAAATTCATGGCATTCAAGCGTTTCCTTACGGTTGACCCATCACAATTTAATGTAAAGCCTATTTCTGAAGAGGTTGAACGAGGGTTTTCGAGAAGACAGCTTCTTATTTGGTCATCAGATAAAAATAAAAAACGTGGATTACTTTTTCACACACCTAATAGAAATAAATGGAAAGGTCAAAGATCGACAATAAATTTCAGTTTAAAAACTACGTGAACAAACTTCGGGGAATGACGATCACTTACAAAAAGAAAAGAGGAGAATTGGAGGATATTAAGGTGAGGAATTTGCATTGGAAACTTTCTACAGTACTCGATTTCAGTCAGAGAATCTCATTTTGACAAGAACTTGTGAGATTTTGGGGAAACAATATCAAGAGCTCAAAGATAAAATGGTTTGTTTTATGTTTTAGAAAAAACAAATGCATCTTTTAGGAAGGGATGGGAATGTTAGTGATGGAGACGATTGAAGTACCGACAAGAATAGAAAGGCCAAAGACTGCTGCTCCAAAAACTGATGATATCGATGAATTACGGTAGACTTATTTGAATTACGGTAAGTCTACCTCTAGTCTACGGTAGACTAATTTGAATTTGAATAGACTAAGCCAAATTGTTTCTTTCAGAAATCTGATCAATGACTTGAATATGCAACTCGATCAAAAGCGATCATTGGTGGCACCGCTGAAAGAGAAAAGAGATGAGATCTCAGCTAGATTGAATGTAAGTTAATTTTCAGATGAAAATGATTTCAATTTCATTTCAGGATACTCTGGAAAGTATGCGGAATCAACGAAAAGACTATGAAAGGCAGCGAGCCGCTTTGGAGAGCAATTTCACTCGATTGCAAGATGTGGGTTTGTGCAGTTGTGATCAGTTAAATTATCAACTTTATTTGAAAACTATAGCTTTAAAATCTTAAGTAGCTTCATCATCTTAATCTTTCAGAACGTCGAGCGCCTTGAAGGTCAATACGAGGCAGCACAATTGAAAGCAAAAATGGCCGAGGTTCAGGTACAGAATTGAAAAGAAATTTAGGTAAGAGTCGGGGAAAAGTTTAGGTAAAAGTAGCTGAAGCTCATTTGGAACAAATTGAATCTGGGAATATTGGACAGATCACTCAAGATATCGAGGATCTCACGCAGAAATATCAACAAGAAGCTGATACAATTCAACAAAGAGGAGGAGGGCAGGTTGGAAAGGGGAATCTCTTCAATTTACAAGTCAATTGTTTAAATTGATAGTACTGATTAAACTGATAGTAACTGATGTTTTCCATTATTTAAGGATTCATTTAGGGCGGAGGAAGCGATTCAAAGAAACAAATGCAAATGTGGCGATCACTCGAGAGAATCTTCGAGCTGAAGTTGGCACTCGCGAGACAAGATCCATCAAAAAGGTTCTCTAAAAAGATTCTCTAAAAAAGATCAAGACTAATCTGTACTTTTTTTCTTTAGTGATCTACCAATCGGTGACAGAAGGGCTGGTCGTTTTTGAGGACTTGATTTGTGGTGTATGTTTTGTGTTTGAACAGTTACAATGTGACAATAAAGTTATAAAAACGTGCTACTTACGTGTTACTAATATAAACATGTTACTAGGAAAAGGCACGGACTTAAGGTGAGCTTTTGTCTGGATAATGCACTTTATAGAATCGGCTATCGATTAGCTTGCAGAATGCTATAAGTTGAGGAAAAAAAACAAAAACAAAAAGTGACATCAGGGCCCCAACCCTGATGCCAAGGGACCCAATAAGCCTAATGCGTTATCCACTACACCACTAAAGTCTCTCTTCTCCCCTAGGAAGGAGCGTTTTAAAGCATCCGTTTCTCGATTGAAGCATTCGTTTTTTAAAGCAAATTTTCAATTGAAGTTTTACAGTCATTTGGCGTCATTTGGAAAATCATTCAACAGATTTTAATTTGAGATTCGGATTCCACATACCCGATTTTATAAAGTGTACGTGTCCAGACAAACCACTCACCTCAAGTTCGTGCCTTTCCCTAGTTAGAGTGCAAGATGCACCAAAAATCAACTCACTAGTTTTGTTTATTCTTTGCCAAGAATAGTAAAACTAACTTTTATTGAGAGTCTCTAGTTCATTCTAGTCATTTTGAGCTTTCCGGTGCGAGCGTTTTCAGCTTCTCCACACTGACGACAATTTGCTGGAATTTAGAGATTTTATTGTCAATAGAAAATAAAGCAGCAAACTTCAGGGTACACTGGAATTTCTTCGATTCTTTGAAAGAGCGGAAATTGAATTAAACAAGATGTTTCACCTGCAATTTCTTTTCCAAACCACGAAGATGAGGGACGAAATCTTCGCAAATTGTTTCATAGTTTTTCGCGAGTTCTCTGCATTTTTAGATAATAGAATTTCTGAAGACTTGGTCTTTCTGAAGATTTCTACCTGCATTCAGCCACTTTTTCAAAAGCTTTTTCATACGAGACATTTGCCTGCATCTTCTCCTCAAAGTCTTCACAATTCTAAAGTTAAAATTTATCAATTTTTCTTAAAAAGTTAACCTTTGGAATCGCTTCTAACAATTCAGCCACTTTTTCGCTCAATGTTGGAATAATCACTTCATATGTCTTGAGATTCATTTGCAAAAAGCTTGACATTTGGTTGTTCATTGATAGAATCTAAAATTGACAGTGGCAAGATGAAAGATGACAAGAAGACAAGACAAGGGTGGCAAGACAAGGGTGGCAAGACAAGGGTGGCAAGACAAGAGTGGCAGGACAAGAATGACAAGACAAGAGGACAAGACAAGAAGATAAGACAAGAGTGGCAAGACAAGGGTGACAAGACAAGAAGATAAGACAAGAAGATAAGACAAGAAGACAAGACAAGAAGACAAGAGGACAAGACAAGAAGACAAGACAGGAAGACAAGACAGGAAGACAAGGCAAGAGTTACAAGACAAGAAGACAAGAAGACAAGAAGACAAGAAGACAAGACAAGAGTGACAAGACAAGTGTCAAATGGATACACCTCCTGTTTTGCAGCCGGTTCAAAGTGATGTCCGTTGTGGTTTGCGACAAAACATTTTGCACAAATGGGCACGGATTTCTGAAAGAGTTTCATCAATTTACACTTTGATTCTCACAGTATTGCTTTCTCCAGCTTTGCAAGTGATACAGGTGAGAAGATCATCCACATCAACCTGAAATCTTTGAGATCTTTGAGATCTTTGTCAGTAGATCTTTCTTTTCCTGAAATCTTTGGGATCTTTGAGATCCACTCACCGATTTTCCACATTCACAAGAAAGCATTTTTGCTTTTTGAAGTAAATCCTCGAATTCGATCATAAATTCTTAAAGTTTTTAAGGTTTTTTTATCGAAAAGAAAGGAAAACCTTTTAAACAATGTTCCTTTGGATGATTGGAATCAATAATTGGAATAAAATCAGAGACTTTTGAACAAAGCGGACAATTGATTATTTCACTCTGAAGAAATTTAAATATTTAAGTTGAAATATTGGGAAAACCTTTGGATTATAGTCGGGCAAAAAGCATTCGTCAATCTAAAATCTTTAATTCGAAAACCGTTTTCATAGCTTAAAAGCACCAATAGCTCTAAACCTTTAGTCTTTGGAGCGTTGAAATATGAATTGAAGCGCTCTTTTCCAACAATCAGAACAAACGAATGCCAGCCTGAAAATGTTGTTCGTATTGCAGTATTTATGTATATTTCTTCTATTAATCTAAAGAATTCTATTAATTAACAGAATAGATGCCAATATTCTCTAGCTCTATCTCTAATAGCTCTAATGGAATAGATGCTAATATCAGATTTCATTGGCTATTAGCTCTATCTCTAACAGCCAATGAAATCTCATTCATTTCCCACTGCACCTTGAGTCAAATTCTTGTGTCCGTAATCTGAGAAGCTGATTTCATATTTGTTCCCATCAACAGTCTGTGATCCCTGAAGTATAATATATTATAATATCTTCTTATATTCTGAAGTATAATAGCTAGGTAAAACAGACGAGAAAAGACCCATTATGATTGATTCCTCCGTTTTCTTCAAGTTCAAATCCTATTGTGTAAATTGTTTGGGGAGTTAACTAAAATGGGTATAAAGCTTTGAGGCTTAGATTACCGTATTTTCTCTAATAGTAGTGCACCCGGCCGAGCCGAATTGGTGACTATTTACGGCTTCCAAAGTTTTCCCAGAAGCTCAACACTCTAATCCCCCACTAGATCTCATCGTCAGCTACATTCTCCGACCCCACATCGACAGGTTCTGATAAGCGGTTCTCGAGATTTCGAGCAATTTAGGCAACGCTCACGGTGCACTAATATTAGAGAAAATATGGTATATTAAACTTATCAAATTTCTAAAATATCCAAACCTCAACCGGAACAATCAATGGAAAATTTATTGGTCCTGGTCCTGCAACCATTGCCGCAATTTTTCGAATCACTTTTTCTTCTTGTTTAACCGTGACATAAATCTTAAAAGAAATCTGAAGTCAGAAATTTCATCTAATCAGCTCACTTTTTTCTTTTGTCCTCCCAAATTTTGATTGACAACTTGAATGGTGTAAAGATAAAGTTTATGTTGAGATTTGAATTTAAATGAATCGATTTGAGAGTAATGGAAGTTGCAGCTAAAATAAAGAAATCGATAAAACAAGAATTCGATTCAGCCAATCAAAATGAATCAAAACCAATCAAAACCAATCAAAACCATCACAAACCTTTCCTTGTCAGCGATTTGAAAGAAAGCGCTTGGGCGAATCGTCTACAATGAGATTATTCTCAAAGCATCTTATCTCAAGGCATAACCTACAATTTGTGAGAGTTCGAGACAACATCGATAACAAAATGTGTGTCCACAGTCGAGTGGATGAGGCATTTTATCGGATTTCTCCATTTCATCTACAAGAAGAACTCGAAAGGGTATTTTCAATAGCAAAAGTTCAAAGCAAAACAGCAAAACAATTAAGAAAAGGTTCAGTTTTTCTACAACGTATTTATTTATTTATTTATTTAAAGCATTTCTTTAAACTCACATCCATCATGACAGATTTCACATTCCATTTGTCTTTGAATCTAAATTTTACTATTCCTATGCGACGTTGAAGCTCAAAACCTTCGCTCGATAAGCTATTGGAGTACTCAGAAATCCTTCAATCCCATTCACACAATTCAAAATTTCGTTCAAAATACCTGTTAACTTCAGCTTTAGTTGGATATTGAGAAACTGACCAAAAAGGAAGTGTGCAGGCGCTACTTCACTCAAACAATCAGCACAATTTGATTTACAAGGGAAACTTCTTTTCGTTTTGTCGGGTTCATTTTTCAAACATTGTAAGCACAACAGAATTCCACATTTCGTAATGACTGGGCACTTTGGATCTTTGTAAGATGGGATGACTGAAAGTGATTAGAACTGATCTGTCTTTCGTTAGAAAACACTTAACAGTTTGTCAAACACTTAACACTTTGACACTTCTTACAAAACAGTTTGACAAGTAAAAATTCTAGTTTAATGTACAACTTACAATATTCAATACATAAAGGACATCGCAAAGATTTCAATTTCATTTCCACAGCCAGTTTCGGAATATTTTTAGCAGATTTAGTAAGAAAGGTAGAATTTCTGACCGCTTTTTTGATGACTCGCATTTGTGGAATTGAAAAAAAACACACTGATATTTCAAATCAAAAAAGAGCTTATCAAAAAAGAGAAATGCAGCACGGGAAAAATAGGGATCGATTTGTTTTCGAGAAAAAAAAACTGGCAATTATTGCAATGTATTGGTTTGAAAATTGGAAAAAGTACAAAATTTTTAGTTTTTCAGCGATCGAATGTTTAAATAATGTGAGAAAATCGCTTATAAAAAGTTAAAATTCATTTTATTTTACTACTGAAATCATTTTTCCTATTCTAGCTATTGCATAACAGTTCCAATTTGAGAGAGAAGTACTTTCGAAATCAAAAGAACAAGTATAGAGCTCAATTTGCATTGATTTGCCAGGTGTTTTTTTGTTCTGACCTTTTCTGAAACTTCTCAGAGTGATTCAAAGAATTTGAATTTCTATTTGAATTTAACCATGGATATTTGGAGTTTAATTTATAGGTGAGTTTATATGTTTTGTTTAATTCCCATTCAAAACATAGCTGTCTTGTGCTGATGAAGTTAAATCACTGCCAGAATTGAACATACCTAATAGTAGTATTCTAGTATAGTATTCTCTTTAATAGTAGTGCTCCCTGAGCGTTGCCTAAATTCCTCGAAATCTCGAGAACCGCTTATCAAAACCTATCGATGTGGGGTCGGAAAATGTAGCTGACGATGAGATCTAGTGGGGGATTTGAGCGTTGAGTTTCTGGGAAAACTTTGGAAGTCGTAAATAGTCATCAACTCGGCTCGCTAATTCTTAACATCCTGGATCAGTCTTTCAATGGGATGAAGCTATGGGTTTATTGATCGTTTCATTCACAATGAGCTCCTCATTATCGATGGTATCTTTTATCCAAAATACACTTCTAAAGCAAAGGCTACTACCTGAATCCATATACCTTATTCTCTCTCTGAGTAGTGCACCCTGTGCGTCGTCTAAATTCCTCGAAATCTCAAGAACCGCTTATCAGAACCTATCGATGTGGGGTCGAAAAATGTAGTTGACAATGAGATCTAGTGCGGGATTTGAGTGTTGAGCTTCTGGGAAAACTTTAGAAGCCATAAATAGTCACCAACTCGGCTCGCTTGGGTGCACTACTATTAGAGAGGTGCACTACTAATACTACTACTATTATTCACAACCTTTTAGAATTCACGAACCATTCGCTTTGTTCAATTCAGCATTGACAATTCTCTTAAATGGAATTCTTTTGCATTTCATTTGTCATAAAACAACTGTCGAAATGGGCACTTATAAGCAACTTTTATTCTTTTTATCGATCTTCAACATTGTTTACTCGTTGTTGCAAAGCTTTTCACTACCAGTAGAGATTTTATTATTATAACAAAGCAATTTAGATCATTTTTACAGCTTAGCAAAGTAGTTTAGATCATTTTTGTGAACAATTACTATTTTGTTTTGATTCCAAGTGGCTCATTGGTTGGGTTTCTGGATCACAGTGGTGAGTAAAACCTTACATTTACCTCATATTCTACAGGGTGCATCACAATTACCCCCACACCTCTTTTGCAATAGAATTTAGCTGTTTTCCAAGGAAAATTCGTTTAATTTTTTTGTTGTCTTTATTCTAACATTTTGTTTTCAGTGAAAAAACTGTTTTTCATTGTTTTCACTGAAACGTGATAGTGATGGCAAAGCGTAATCTTTACAGAGGCAAAGCTCTTTACAGAGGCAAAGCTCTTTACAGAGCTTCGATCATTGACTTGCACGCTATGGGACAGATGAGATTAGACGTCTAGGAGTAGATAGAAGTGCTGTGATTCGTGCAGTTAAACGATACAAGGAGCTTGGAACTTTAAATGTTTTCCTGGACAAGGAAACAAGAGAACCGTTACCATCAAAGCTAATATCAAGAGGGAAAGATCAGGCTTCGATCATCGACTTGCACGGCAAAGGCTATGGGACACCAGCTATGGCAGCCCCGCGCGTTCCATGTTGATAAACATTTCTATTTAAATTTGCATTTTGTTGATTTCTCTGGTGAGAAGCTTTGATTTACTTTGAGGCGGTAATTGTGAAACCTCTGTAATAGTACACCCTGTAATAGCACCTGTAAGCTCTGTAATAGTACACCTTGTAACAGCATACCGAACCATGAAAGTATAAAAAAACCTTTTCTGGATAAAACCCTGTTGTATTGCAATGTACTGTCATAGGCTGTCATAGCTGTATTGTCATAAGCTTTCAGTTTACTCTGAACAAGCCTAGTTACTCCAAATTCAATCTTAGTGATAGCACTAACAGCCTGCCCTGATCTGGTTGGCTATAATCTTTGTCACTTGAAATTTAGCCCAAGAACTGCTCGCTTCTCTCAACATTTCCTTCTTCGGCACAAATAATATCGTACTTGCTGTCCATTTTCTTTATCGTTATATCACGATTTGTCAGTAAGTGAAATAGAAATTTCTTTTACGAAACGATTTCCGAAATCATCGCGATTATCTGATCAATGGATGGTGGCAAATGATTTGGCTCATTTACGTCCATTTTTGTGAGTTTATTAGAGTTTATTAGATCATTCTCTAAAGCTTCTATTCAGGTTTTGGTATTTCGATGTACACTTGTATTTATTTATTTAAAACATATCCAGAAAAAGATATACTAATTGATAGAGATATGAAGAATGTATTGAATATTTCTTTGGATGACAGGGCGTATGTTGGGCCTTTGTACTGGGTGAGTTGAAGGAAATTGATCGTGAAATTGGTCGTAAGCTATATAAATCTCCGAAACTCTGTCTCGGAGAAACTTCGTCTTAGCAAAATTCATCGGTGCTGAGGTTTCTTAGATGAGGATTTTCAGCAAATTTTTAAGGTATCCTCATCCCTATTTGGACTCATGGGGATACCTCAGTCCAAATAGGGGTGGGGATACCTCTTCGGAGTCATCCTCAAGCCTCCGAAGATCCATGGGGATGCCTCCCTATTCCCCATGTCTATTTGGATCCATAGGGATACCTCAAGATGGTCATGGGGATACCTTTAAGCACCTAAAATCCTTGCTTTCCCCATGACTATCTCGAGGTATCCCCATGACCCTTTGTAGGTATCATCAGCCTCCCGATGGTCATGAGGATACCTCTAAATGGTCATCCCCATGCCTCCCGATTAAGCATTTGTAATGTAGCGCAATGTAGCTTTTCTAAAAGCTATCGGGCCCTAGCTTTTCTAAAAGCTATCGTACTCTAACTTTTACCTAATTGAACAAAACTGGAGCTAAAAATTACAGTCGTTTTTATGCGTCTTTTAGAAAACAAGCAGTTTCCCTTTCAAAATCAATCTAAATCTAGGTTGAAAAAGAAGCTGGATCAGTCTTTCAATGGGATGAAGTTATGGGTTTATTGATCGTTTCATTCACAATGAGCTCCTCATTATCGATGGTATCTTTTATCCAAAATACACTTCTAAAGCAAAGGCTACTACCTGAATCTATATACCATATTTTCTCTGATAGGAGTGCACCAAGAGCGTCGTCTAAATTCCTCGAAATCTCGAGAACCGCTTATCAGAACCTATCGATGTGGGATCGGAAAATGTAGCTAACGATGAGATCTAGTGGGGGGATTTGAGTGTTGAGCTTCTGGGAAGACTTTGGAAGCCGTAAATAGTCATCAACTCGGGTGCACTACTATTAGAGAGAATACGGAATTTTTTCCACCAAAGCATTAGCTTTAACATTAGCTTAGCATTAGCTTCAGATGTGTTACTGTGGGCACAAAACGTATAATGGCATGAAAAAGTATATTGGAAGCGATCGAACAAAGAGACTTCACAATCAACTTTTCATTTCACTTCTTACAATGGTAAAGAAAATTCAAATATTGTAATTATTGGGTTGATGAATTGAAAACTGCGGGCTATTGTCATATGTGACAGTTTGAGCACTTTCTTCAAAAGAAACCCATTTTGGTGTCAATGGAAAAGTTGTAGAGAATCAAAAATCAAGCTTATATCCAAATTTTCAGAACGATTCAAAAACTGGTTTTCAAGAAATGCCAAATTTGCACAAAAGAAATGCCAAATTTTCACAAAACTTGCATTTTAAGCGAAACTACTAAGTGTATCTTTGTGGAAATTTGGCTATAAGCCTAATTTTTGATTCTCTACAACTTTTCTATTGACACCAAAATGGGTTTCTTTTGAAGAAAGTGCTCAAACTGAGCTGACAGCTGACATCTCCAGTCCTCCATTCTTGAGTCTCACACTTGTCTCACACACAAACCAAAATCCTACTACGAAAGAGAAATCCGCAAATTGCTTGTAAAAAAGGGCCGTTAATGCCGTTAATGACGACCGTTAATGCAATCAAATACAGTGAACAGTTGGGAAAGGTGAATGAATCCCTGAAGAAGAATAGGCCCTCCAAGTCAAAGATCGTTCTCATCCCCGACAACGCGCGCCCTCATGTTGCAAAACTGACTCACTCTAAAATAAATAGCCTTGTTTGGGAGCTTCACTGTATTTGATTGCATTAACGGCCGTCATTAACGGCATTAACAGCCCATTTGACAGGCAATTTGCGGATTCCTCTTTCGTAGCTTGCGGGAGAACACTTCGATTCGGAAGAAGCAGTCAAAAATTGGCTTTGAAAGTTTTTCGATTCAAAACCAAAATCCTACTCGAAAGAGGAATCCGCAAATTGCCTGTAAAATGGGCAGAAGTTGTCAATAATAATGGAAATTATTTGGAATGAATTTATGGTTTTGTTGAATTGTTTATGTTGAATAAATTTTAGGTCAAAGTCCGGCGGTTTTCAATTGACCAACCCAATAAATTGTAACTAATCCCAATCGTAGGCTGTTGTCCCAATGATTGTCATTTATTTCCCTGTAACTGTTCTCATTATCGGTTCACTATTCGGTGTTTCTTTCGGTCGATTCGGCTTTGTTTATCACTTTCTTCTAACAATCACACCTTTCTTCGATCCACTGGTTTTAATCTATTTTATTAGTAAGTCCGAGATAATGTAGATGTTTTATAGTATAGATGAGACAGTATATAGTATAGCTGATAGTATTATAGTTATAGTATAGCTGATACTGACTTCTTAACGGTACACCTTTCAGCCGATTATCGCCGAGCTTTTCTGAAAACATTCTGCAAATTGGTGACAAGAAAAAGGTTTTTGGAAGAAATTTACATTATTCTTACAAAGAAATTCCAAATTTAGAGTAAAAAGAAGATTTCAGAATCGATCTGGACCACTCACAGATCATCCGAGGAAAACCCCGTCAATTGAGCTCAATTAGGGCTTTTTATAAACATGATAAATGATCTAAAACTTTTGATTCAAATCCGCAAGAGATTCTTCAATGATTCCTTTTCAAAGAGATGATTCTATGGTTCCTTTTCAAAGAGATTCACAAAGATTTATTTCTCATTGATTCCTTTTCTCCAATCATTTCTTCTTTTCTTCTTCTTTTCTTCTTTTTCCTCTTAATTTTTCACCAAGGTCGTCCATCAATTTAAACGAAAACTGATTTTATCTGACTTGTCCACATGAATGTCCAACATTTCTAAAAGATTTATTGCATTTCTGCGTTTGAAAGATAAAGATTTAATGATTAGGAACGTGATTTGCTATAATTTAAATTGCCTTTAGGTTATGAATCATTTATTCTTTTTATTGTCAAAGAAAAGATCATCTTTTTCATCATCTGATTAAGAGCATCTGCCGCTCTAAAACGTGACAACTTTCAAAACTATCTCTAGCTCTTATTTTCAAGAGTTTGACACGTTTTAAAAATGCATTAATTAACGCACACTTCAATTCCAAGAGTTCCTTTGTTAAAATGATATTTTCTTTGCTATTTTCTAGATTCGATTAAAATAAAAGAACTGTGCCGGACTACATTACAAGCATATTAAAAGAACTGTGCATTACAAGGCCTTAGCTTTTCAACTTGCAAATAGCGCCTTAGCTTTTCAACTTACCCAATTTTTGCTAACTACTAAATTTAGCTGATCCACCAAAATGTGGTTCACTCATTCGCTCAAATCGGCTCTCAAGGACAACCGGGAAACATGTAAAGAGATCAAATCGAGGGTAGGACTCAGCTTTTCAATAATAAAATACTATAAATTGAAACAGAATGAAAAATATGAAAAATATTACATCCTTTCCAGCTTCCCGTCGCTCTTCTCATCTTTTTCGAATTGATTTGGCTTTTCTCGTGTCTTTGGTACAATCAAATCACTTTGGTGTCAAATGAACAAACAACCGAACGACAGATTACGGTATTTGATTAAAAAATAGGGATTTAAATGTTAGATTTTAGGAGATCTCAATCCTGTTAATGATTCTGGTCACACTCCCAGCCATTCTCACCATTTACACGTTGAGCTCAAGTTTTTCAAAAGTCTACTTTGCTTTATTTGTAAGTTTTAAGAAAGATAAAGAAAGCTTTTTAAAAGAAAGCTTTTTAAAAGGAAGCTTTTTCAAGAAAACCTTTTAAAATAAAGCTATAAACTTATTCAGATATTCGAGATATTGATTGTTTTTGAAGTTTCGTTGTTCTTGGGGATTTATCGAGTATTCAGGTTAAATGCTTGACTGAAATTGGCTGAAAATTTCTCCTTTCAGTAAATCGCAAGCAAGTTTGCAAAGATTCAACGTGTTGATCTTGGCATTCGGTGAGTTTTGGAGAAGATTCATTGAAGCTCAGCTTCTCCTCAACTTTTCCTTTACTTTTCAGGCTCAATCTATCTTCAACTACTCGTTCCATGGCTTGGCGCATTGAAGTATTCATTCTACAAAGATATTAGGTGAATTAAAAAGTGCTATTCCAATTAAACAGTTCCATATTCCAAGTTTAACTATTGAAATCGAAAATCCCTAAACTTTTATGTACCACTTTTCAGAGATCATCAATCCTCCGAAAAGAAAGAGCAATATGCATCAATTCCTAATGTAACTATTGCATAATGTAAATAGATTGGGTTGTCCAGTTATTGTCCAGTTATTATCCAGTTTTTACTCATTTGTAAATTTCTCAAGATATCGAACAGATGTATATGAGTGTTATGTATATGATGTATATCATTCGAAAGCTGAAGATCTCCTTTACATTTTGGAATAAAAAAGTTTTTAAATTCATTCAACTTTTTGGGAAATTGACTGCACAAAGGGAGAGGTCGTTTTCGAAAAAAAAAAACCCATTCCAGCTTAGCTATTCCTCAAGTTTTATGGTGTAAAATAACCGCCCAGAAAAGAAAAGAAAAGTAAAGATGCTCTGAAATTGTTATATTTAAAAAAAGTTGTATTGATATATCTATTGGCCAAACATCAAACGGTTAACTCAATTTGAGCGGAGCCAAAACTTGATCCAAAGGCACCCTTCCACTTTTTGGCCACCTCTTCTTCGGTGCAGTCAACTTGCCCAAAAGCTGAACAAATTCAAAAACTTTTTATATCAAAATGTAGAGGAGATCTTCAGCTTTCGAATAATACTCATATATATCTTTTTCGTGATTTCGGTATCTTGAGAAATATCTTGTGAAAACAAAATAGTAAAAAACGCGCATTCATAACTGGACAACCCAATATTTTGTCTTCTTTGGTTCGTTTAGAGTTTGATAAAATCATTTCTCAAATTAAACGTCACAAATATGCACTAAACTTACATAAAACTTACAAGGAACACAATACTGAAAAGATCAACTCCTGCGTTTCCGTCTTGCTGAAACTTGCGAGTGAAGAAACACCAACCGAACCTGGGAATTACAAAGTATTATTTGCATATCAGTTGTCTGAGTGTTCAGCAAAGTTTTCCGAGCAAAGCTTTCATTTTTTACAATGAAATTTTCTTTACTTTTCATTATATTTCATCTCATTTCATCTATTTCATTTCATTGATTCAATTCTTTTCAATTCGTTGATGATTTGTGATTGTGAGTGCCTAGGAATGCTACAGTAAGAAAACAAAAACAAACAAACAAACAAACAAACAAACAAACAAACAAACAAACAAACAAACAAACAAACAAAACAAACAAACAAAACAAACAAACAAACAAACAAAACAAACAAACAAAACAAACAAAACAAACAAACAAAACAAACAAACAAACAAACAAAACAAACAAACAAAACAAACAAACAAACAAACAAACAAACAAACAAACAAACAAACAAACAAACAAACAAACAAACAAACAAAACAAACAAACAAAACAAACAAACAAACAAACAAAACAAACAAACAAAACAAACAAACAAAACAAAACGAGTTCATGTAGGATCGGATCGAGGGAATATTGGAAATGATGAGGAAACGATTGTTGAATTTGTGTAATAGTTGATGATTTGTGATTGTGAGTGCCTAGGAATGGAAATTCTTGAAATCTCTGCTTCGGGTTAAATAAATTTTTGCTGGTTCATAGAAAGAAAGGCGAAGATGAAAGCGTTGAGCCAGATTACAAAGAATAATTCTTCTATCAGTTGGTTGGGAAATGCTGGTTTTGTCTAACAAAGTGTTCTACTTTCAACAAACATATTTGCAATGAAGTCTTCCTTTCTTTTCCTCGAATTTCATCTCATTAATTCCATTCGTTTCTACAATTTAACGCAACAAAATCCATCTTTTGCTATTCACGGGATTCGTTTGAGAAATGAAAAAGTTAGAAAAGAGCTTTGATTTTAATGAATTCCCAATTAGAGCATAGCATTGAGTGGATGTGATGGATGTGAATTTATGATTGATTTCTCGAGGATTAATTGCTCGATGCCGAGTAGACCGGGCGAGGATTGGGTGAGTTGAATGGATACTTCTTACTGGAGATTAACAAGGCAAGACTTTAAGAAACTCAAAAACGAGGCAAAACGAATCTTCTGCTATGATCCATATCCATTCTCAATTAATGGCCAAGTCATCGATTTTCATTTCTGTGACAATCCAATGTTCGTTCTTTTATTTACACTAAATATTATATTTAGCCCCATATCTCAAAATTTTAAAACTCTTCTATATCATTGTACAATGAGAATAAATGCTACAAATCTTCGTGTAATCAGTGCTTCATTAGCTGAAGAATTCAAATTTGAGTACGCTTTGTCATTTCGAGTTCGACAATGGATTAATGGTAAGAGAATTTCGTTTTGAAATAAATCCGATAAATCAGAGTAAAATAAACTAGAGACTATATTATCAATAATAGATAAATCTTATTATTTAAAGCTCTAAATTCCATTCAGACCCTGGAAACTTCCTTCTTATCCCAACTCCAAGAAAATCCAACCCCAATGGATTGAGTGAACTTGATTATGAAGTTCTCGTTCCCGATCATTCATTGGTTACCATTGTCGCTCATCCCGATTCGATCAATTCAACGTGATATTAAGATTTTATTGTATCAGGGTTTAAATAATCTGATATATTAACTTTCCATACAACTTAAATTTCCAGTGAAAACGATGGCCCTCTATTTATGCTTAAAATCTTCAACCCCGTAGAATCAACCATAGATCCTGAACCGCTTTGTTGGCGATTAACGGTTTGTATAGATATTTGATTGGCATGGGGCAAGTAATTGCTAAAGTTCAAATAATTTCAGCCAGATATCACCTGTGATCCACTCACAAAACATCGAGTTTATATTGGATCGGCTTGGGGGAAAATTGAGAATGATCAACAAACGATCGTCGATATCGAGTATGATTTTAGAGTTAAAATATGGGAAACCTTGAGTATTCCTTGAGGAATTCATTGAGGAAATGACGCTAAATGTTTATTACTGTTTAATTACTGTTTACTAAATGTTTATTACCGTTTATTATTGTTATATTTAGTTATTTCACTCAATTCAAATCAACATCAACCGTTTCAACGGTGATCTCCGATGAGCAATGTTCTTTTTGTTTGGTGATCTCTCTGCCGGGAATTGGAGGTACCTTTTGAATAAAAATTGATTCTAAGACAGTTTTTTTTTGTGAAATTTCATTTCTTTACGAAAGATTTCATTGCTTTCTTTACAGAAAGCAATTATTTGGGTGGTCAATTCTACGAATCACCAATGCTCATCACGAGTTTTGCTTATCCCTGGATTTTCGATGATTCTGTTCAATACGATATGTCATTAAATCAATGTGTAAGACCGACAACTCAAGAATCGATCGTACGTTCTAATTGTTGAGTAAACGTTGAGTCGATCGTGGAAAAGTCGATCGACATCAAAAAGCAGTAAATTTTAGTTTGGGGAAAACTACTTGCTGATGGATTTAAAGGTGCATTCGGTGAGAAATGGAAACTTGGTGATAACTGGTGATAATACTGAGGAATGTGCATGTTGGTGTGGGAAAATACTTACATATAAGTATGGTTTTCATCTTGGAAAAAGCGAACAAAGCATATGAATTCAGTTTTACGGACGATGTGACAAATTTCGAGACACAAGTATCGGGAACCTCGTTTCAAGTGATTTCTTTATTCATAACTAATTAAAGTCTGATCATTCATTACTTTAAAGGAGAGATAGGTTCGATAAAAGCTAAAGGCAATGTTATAATAGCTTTGAAAAGTCGGCAAATTTTAGAAAACGCAGCGATATGAATAGAGTGGGTTTCTTGTGTTTTTGTGGTTCCTTGTGTTCCATTAATTGAATAAATTTGCATCAACAAATTTTCAATCGATTAAAAGTCAATTATTTCTCTCAGATTTGTCTCAATTAAACAAATTGGTGCATACCGTAAATACTGTAATAGTACCCCACCCCCCTCGTACAGTCGCGTCGTCGCAAAAGTTTTTTAGTATTTCATTTTTTTTCAAAGCGCCCGTACTTTCAAAAATGCGTCTTTGGTATCAAAAAAATAGCTGAAATTCAGGACTATTTTTTGATATCTAAGCACGCATTGTAGCATAAACCAGTGTCGAGAAAAACACGTCCAAAGCTAGGTGCGTAGTGTTGGTTCCTTATCTCTACAAATTTGGTTCCTTATCTCTTAAAATTTGGTTCCTTCCCTCTCTAAGTTTGGTTCCTTATCTCTACGAATTTGGTTCCTTTTCTCTCTAAATTTGGTTCCTTATCTCTACAGATTTGGTTTCTTTTCTCTCTAAATTTGGTTCTTTATCCCTCGAAATTTGGTTCCAACAACACTAGACTACGCAACACTCCGCACCATCATTATGGGAGTGGGGTATTATTACAGTATTTACGGTATGTAAATTATTAGGTACTACGGAAAATAACCGGCTGGCTAATTGACTTTGACATAGTTTTTAAAAACCTAGATTTGATGATTATTTTTAATTTAATGCTAGGTTATTCTTATTTCAGTTTGCTTAAAGATTTTGTGTTTCCTTTTTTTGCTTTTTAATTATCTATAATGTTTAGGACTCGGACTTCCAAATATGGACAAAAAACAAATTCGCACGATTCTCTTGTCTGTATTCAAACTCGGGCATTCAGCAAGAAATGCAGCATTTGGACAAGACACTGTATCAGTTCGCACTGCGCAAGTTTGTTTCAAGCAATTCCACGAAGGAGATGGGAAGCTCGAAGAGATAGAGGGCCGAGGCTGCCCATGACTACTTGACAATGAGGATTTGAAGCCTTTTGTCAAAGCTGGTCCTCGAACCATGAAGCTGAAGCTGACGAAGCACTTTGGTGTTAGAGTTATGACAGTTAGCGATCATTTGAAAGAGATTGGCAAAGTGAAGAAGCTCGAGAAATGAACTCTGCATCTATTGAATGAAATTTGCTCGATTTCTCACTTCATCTTCTTTGAAGTTTCGAAACAAGAAAGGTCCTTTTTTGGATTGATTGATAAAGTGCGATGAAAAATGGGTCCTTTACGATAATCGGAAGCGAAATTCGGGATGTTTGGATAAGGGTAAAACTCAGACTTCTTTTCCAAAACCGGATATCCACTCAAAGAAGGTCATGTTGTCGATTTGGCGGTATAAGAAAGGAGTGATACACTATTCG